GTCTGGGGTAATGCTCACGGTGGCGGTAGCGTCATCGACCTTGAACAATATCTCCACTGCGTTCAATAGGGAAGTCGTGCCCCGGGTGCCGGGCACCTCAATGCCGTCCAAGACCACGAAGCGCGTCCCCGAGAGTTTGTTGTGGCGGAGGACGAGCTAGGGGAGGGGAAGGGAAGGGATGGGAAGATGAGGGAGTAGGAGCGACGTCCTTTAACAAGCAAAGGAAGCTTCTCGTGGCCTAAGATAATGTCAATTGAACTCGTATTCCGTTTCTCAGGGCCGCGCGTTGATTCGTGTGGCGATGCACCTCTTCCTTGCGCGCGTCGGCACAGGTGAAGCGACAATATGGTTTTCTCCCTACTGCTTGCTCGTCCTCCAACACCAGCATTCCTTCCTTTCAACCCGCTTACCTTATGTGGTCGTTCCCGTCTTCCTTGAGAGGGATCGGCCAAAGAAAAAGACCACAGTTTCGTGACTCCTCCTGGGTTTCTGAGGGTATTTGTAACAATCCGGGTGAGGCTTTCCATCCTCGCGGTGCTTGTCTCAGTAATAGGCGTACACCCGCTCGCAAATCTCCTCCCGCTTCCACGAAGGACGCCACTCGCTCTCTTATGTATACAGTATGTGAAGGGCCTCACAAGTTGCGCAGTCCTTGATGTGGCATGGAGATGTGAGGGGGAATAGTCGTATCAGAAGTCATGTTCCAAGAGAGGGAGGTGGAGAGCACTTCAGACTTGGCCAAGGAGACAGGTATTCGCCTCCGCAAAACCACGACACACACGCATTTTGAACGCTTCTCCTGTTTCCATTCCTCAGCCAAGCCCTCTATGCAGCCAAGTAGAGCGCTGTCCAGGCCAGGCTCAGTTTTCGCAGACGCACGATCGCGGACTCGGAATACCCTCCCCGGGCGAGCGCCGTGCTTCCGTCCCTGATTTTGATTCTACACAGAGGCGAAACATCCACTTATTCTTTCCGCCTCAAATACACGGTACAGGCGTTTCTCGGCACTCACATTCTTCCTTCATGAGCATACAGGGCATGATTTGAGGGCTGGGGTCTGAACGCGCGGGAGGATGCATTGCTTTCCCTGCGGTTTCGAGAGCTCCCAAAGGCCTATCCGTTAGCATCATCGTCCAGAGTTTTCCAGGCCAGAGAGTCTGTCTTGCCCGCCCGTCGCACATTTAGCCACGACTGTTCTAGGGCGCAGACAATGCACAAGACCGGTTGAAATATATGCGTGGGTTCGACGCCTGTGGCATGTTGGTAGTAGCCTGGGTAGCCAGTCCGCTAAAGGTCCTATGAGCCGCGACCTTCTGTGGGCTACTTTTCACACTGCCGTTCCGCATCATCTGCCATGTGGCATTTGTGTGACACGCAAGTGGTCCGTGTCATGCGTGAATGCGGTCTATGTGGGCGCTGATCTATTTAAAGTCCCCACAGCGTACTGCATGTGACCGTCTATGCGCCATGTATCTTAGGATAACTCCGTGCTTATTAAAGGATCTTGCGAGTGTATCGATCGCACCGTCACTTGTCTGACCACATACAACTGTTGATCGAAAAAATTGCTCCTAACCGATGCCCTGACAAGCCCAATATCATGTGGGAATCGCCCAAAGTCGAAAAGCGAGGCTTACCACGCTCGACAGGGAGGAGAGAGTCCTTGTCGCTTCAATTCCAGTTTTTGTTCACAAGCTCAAACGTCTGTGAGGGCTCCTGCCAGGCCTCGAACTCCTTGCTTTCGGACGCCAGGCTCTCTCACCTTCCCCCTATCTCACTCCTTTGTCTAGCAGGCGCTTCCGGATGAATTTGTTTGGGAAGAAGAAGACGGCAGGGCCGCCCCCGAATCCTGGGGACGCCATCATCAAGCTTCGCGGCACGATGGAAACCTTAACCAAGCGGGAGGCGTACATTTCCAAGAAGATGGACATGATGGTGAGGGAGGCCAAGGGGAAAATGGCGCGAAAGGATAAAAACGGGGCCCTCTTTGCCTTGAAAAAGAAGAAGATGTACGAGGCAGAAGTGATCAAGATTCAGGGGGCGATGATGAATTTGGAAAGTCAGGCGATGTCCTTGGAAGGGTCGGCGACCAACATGGAGGTGTTCGGGGCCATGAGGTACGTCGCTTTCCTCCCTCCCTCCCTCCCTCCCTCCCTCCCTTTTTCCTTCCCTCCCTCTTTATTTTGATGTCATTGTCATTGAATGAGAGGTGGAGTCCGGCGTGAAAGCGGGGAGGTGCAACCGGTCCTGCCGCGCTTCATGCAAATGAGGCAACCCCTTTGCCCTGTCCTGGGTCGCGGACCTCCTTGTGCACATGTTCGCTTGGTACGGATATTTTTCATTGATGTATCTCTGCACGCTCCTTGCAGGACGGGCGCCAAGGCAATGGGGGCAATGCGGGGCGCCATGGACGTGGACAAGGTGGACGACTTGGTGGATGACATCCGGGAAGAGATGGACACAGCCACCCACATCTCCGAGGCCATCTCCACCCCCTTGGACGGGGGCTTGCAGGACGACGACGACCTGCTGGCGGAACTGGACGCGATGGTGGAGGAGGAAACGGAGGCGAAGCTGACGCAAGTCCCAGCGTCACTGCCGGTTAAACCCGGGATGGCGGAAACGGCTCCCGAGCCGTTTCCGGAATTACCGGCCGTCCCTACGAACAAGCCAGTGGCAAGTCCGGGACTGGAGGCGTTGGAGGGCGTGGACGAGGAGGAGCTAAGGGCGTTGAAGGAATTAGAGCAGAGCATGGCGGTGTAGGGGGTAGGGGAGGAGGGAGGGACGGAGGACGGGAAGGAGGGAGGAAGGGAGGGAGGGGGGCAAGGAGTGGTACATAGTGGGAAGGGGTTGTGTTACGGGTTAACGTGAACAAAGAACAAGAAATTCGAGAACGGCATCGACGAGGGGCACTGCTGTGGAAGTGCCTGACAGCGCCCGACATGGCAAGGTTGACAGTGCTTTTTCTTTCCTTTGTTTGGCTCGCGCGGACGACTGTTCGGTCCAGTGGGCAAGGGGCGGGAACGCTTATTTAAAATTTTAAATCCACGATCGACATGATTGTGTTGAACCACACGCTCTCCTCCTGCTCATGAACGAGCACAGTCTGGCTTGGGAATGCCTCCCCTCCCTCCCTCCCTCTCAACCTCTGAGTCTCCCGGCGATGTCCTCTTA